ATCTACCCTATTGCCCCCCCCCCCCCCCCCCCCCCAAATTATTACAGCAAGGTCTATTTGTATGGATTTAAATTGCAAAACACTCAGCAGCTCTAACAGGGCAATTAAAATGTGGCCATCAGCAGAAAAGTAAGGCACAGTACCAGAAGCTAAATTTAAAGAGCAGTAGACTGGTTTCATACAGAGATCTAACCAAAACTGACAAAAAAGACAGCATGACAAAGGTTGCTCCCATGCTCTACATGGATACAATGTCTGTCAAGGGCAGTTGGGGAATAGTACCTATCTAAGTAAACCAAAGATTTGGCTCAATCTGTTGTTCTGGAGAACAGTTTTACAGATCTGAAGATAGACAGGAAAGGCTAAGTCACCTACACCAGCTGTTCTTTAATAGGTAACAGTAATGGAAGAAAAAGGAGTTTAATGAAACATTCTGTTCTCAACCCGAAGAGGACCTATTGCATGTATGTATGAAATGTATCTTAGTAATTTTCATTTGCATACTGTTATTAGACCTGTCAAAGTTAACAGAGAAAACATCACAGCCATGTCTTACAAGGGACTGTTTTACATGGGAAAACTGAGGTACAGAACAGTTAAGGAATTTCTCCAAGATCACTGACTGGTAGAGCCAGAAAATGTAGGTGGTAAATTTCCATAAAATCTTAATCTCAAAACACTGGACCATGCTTCTTTCCATGTTCTAACAGCATCTTCTACATCCTTAAAAGACATCAGTGTTGATCTTTGTACAAAGTTGTTATTTTTCCATAAAGGTCTGGAATACAGATAAGGAGGAGACATTCTCACACAATCACAGGACGGTTGATGTTAGAAGGATCCTCTGGAGATCACCTTGTCCAACCGCCCTGCTCAAAGAAAGGCCAACTAGAGCAGGTACTCAGGACCGTGTCCAGTTGTGTTTTGAGCATCTGCTAGGATAGAGAATCTACAACCTCTCTGGCAAACTGTTCCAGTGTTTGATCACCCTACACACTAAAAGGCTTGTTGGTTAAAACTGACTTTTAATATTAATCCTAGTGCTTCCATCTGCAGAACATGGTTAAATTTCTTGTTACTACTGAAATCCCATCAAGCTTTTTATCAGGTACATAGATGAGCATTCAGAACACACCTCAGGATTCACATTCTGCAGGGATTATGAAATTATGGAATCATGTGGAACCCTTGGGGGGGGAAAGAAAAAAGAAGAAAGAAAAAAAGGCAGGCACTGTCAGATTCAGTCTTAACACTTATGGATAGGAGACATTACAGGCACAGCTATTTAGTACAAAACTTAAAGAGAAAATTCTGAGAAGAGAGGGAGGGAGAAAAACCAAAAATTCATCACATCATTATATTGAGAAGAGTCATTCTTGTACATCCAGGTTTAGTCCAGATGCAAAAATTACCTATGTTGCTATTGCATCTATCGTTTCTCAGGAGCAGTTTTGTCCATTGATTCTGTATTCGAAACGCCTACTGCTGGCACTGACAGTTCTATGAGTCTGAAAACAGTGTATTTCTTAAAGAAGCTAAACTTCACCTTTAAATGAAGGAAGAATTCACACAGTAACAGAGCATAATAAATAAATAAAAATTATAGAATTATTTCCCTTTGAAAAAGTCACATGGAATTATTTTACACAGATACACACATACAGTAGACTGATGTCCCATTACATTTCTATGACAGATCAAACTTTGACTTCTACAGTCTGATACTATTATAGCAGCGCACCACATTTTCTGAGATGTAACAATACTGGAATGAGTTCTACTTACATATAGCCATAGGCAGAAAAGATGTGCTGAGATACTCTATAATATCCTTGTGCAGAAATGGAGGAAAGGTAGCTAGTGTTGAAATCATTGTATAGGGTAAAGTACTCAAAATATCATCATTGAGAAAAGGAAGTAAGCATGTAGTAGTGTAAAAAATTGATTGCCCAAGATCTGTTGAATAAAATGAAATAAATACAGAATCATTACAATGGAAAAATAGTTATGACTATGTACTGTTTTGTTTACAAAACTGTATTAAAAAATTACATTTAATTCAAGTTTTCCCCTCAAAGTAATTTGGGAAGTTAATCACTACAGACAAGCGACTTCACCCATCATTTTTAAGCCTCTCCTAAAATGGAGGGAAACTGCTGTTCAACAGTACTCAGAAGAGTTTGGAGGGAATATGAATACCACAGCCAGTAAAATCATTGATTAAAATCAATGTTGATTTTAATCATACAGTGATTAACATACAGTGGCCTGCATTTAAGCAGAGATGTTATCAGAATTTGATATGCACTTTGGTATTGAAAGGCCTGCTTTTGCAAAAAACATTCTAGTCTTTACCAGCCATAGAAAAATAGTATTTTGATCTTAATTACCCTCAAGAGAGGTGCAAAGTAGCCCCCACATAGACACTACAGGAAGCATCACTGTATTTTTCAAAAAACATGTGATTAAACTATGGATCTTGTTTTCCTGGGAAGACATTGAGGCCAAAAATGGCCAAGGCTTAAAAGGAAAGGAATATTTATCAAGAATTTCCATACTTACTCTAATTAATTATACTACAACTCTTTGGAAGGGATACTTAAGAAATGCAACATTTCAAGATCCAAAGGGAAGGGATATGTTATTGTGTACCTGGGCACTGTGGCATCTTTATACCCTCTTCCAAATGAGGAACTGAGCTGGGGCCAACAGCCCTCCAAGAAAGGTTACAGCACTCAGTGAAACAGAAGTCTGAACCTCTATGATGATCCTAATACATCACAGGGCTTTGCCCCTGCATGACAGGGATTCCTTTTGTTACTCAGTCCGTAACCTTAAGTATGTTACACAGGCCTTCAGACTCATCTGTACAACTAGGATGATTTAAAACTGCTTCTGTAAAGTGCTGTAAACATCATGAGTCATAGTAAGTATTAAAATTAGCACTCCATTTCAGTGGTTCTGGCAAGCCTTCTATGCAAGCGTCTAACTAGATGCTTAATGCTACAGAGTGTTTCTCTCTTGCAACACATATTTACCAGCTAAGCATTAAGAATTTTGTATAATCTGATTGGACCAAAGCTCAGGACTGCCTAGCACACCAGCTCTACTTACCCAAACAGCATTGATTGTTCTGATTAAAAAAAAAAATGTTTTAGTCAAATGCTAAGCTGAGGGAGAAATAAATAACAAGTTGTATTGCAAAATTTAATTCTCTGTACACAGAACCATAGAAAATAGCAAGTGACCTCCCCTTGCCCCAAGCATGAGTCAACCAAATCAACCTGGCAGATATTTATCTAAACTGTTCTTAAAAATCTGCAAGACAGTTCACTCCTCCTCCTAGCAAAGCATCCTAGTGCTTAATCATCTTTATCATAAAAAGGCCTTTTTTTTTTTCTTCACATTTCCATTGCTGTAGTTTAAGCCTCTAATTTCTTATCCTGATCAACTGTAACCACAAATAGTTTGGTTTAGTTTATTTCTCTTTGCAGCAACCTTTACACATTTGTATATAAAAATCGTCTCCCATTTTTCTCTAAGGTAGACAAACCAAATTCTTTCCATTTTTCCTCACTGTTCACATTTTCTAGACCTCAAATCATTTTTGTTTCTTTTTCCTGGACTCCTCCCAAATGGTCCATGTCTTTCTTGAAGCCAGATGGACAAATCTGAAAATTTTACTCCAGCTGAGGCCTTGCTAGGGCTGTTAGAATGATAAACAAAATGCCTCGGGTGTCTCATACACAAAACACCTGTATACATATTGCTAGAATAATACTAACACATTAATGACTTATGGTCTGCCTCTGATCTACTGTAACACCCAGATCTCTGCAGTATGGCTTTCAAACTAGTATTTCCCCATTTCATTTCTGCCATTGATTCCTCCCGCTTAAACACAGTATTTTACATTTCTCCTTTGAAGGTGTTTCAAAACAGAAAGCAATTTGCCAAGATTGTTTTGAATCGGGTATCTTTCACACAAAGGACACGCTATTCGCCATCTTGACAACCTCTGCAAATCAAAGTGCTCTCTCATTTCTATCAGCCAAGTAAAAAAATTAAAATATTTAATAACACTAGACCCAGCACAGACTCCTGTAAGATTCCCACTTGGTATACCCTTCCAGCTGACAAGAGCCACTGGTAATTACTCCTGGAGTGTTTTCCTCACTCAAGAGGGGACCATATGTCCCAGATTGCCTATTAGGATGTCAAGTGACACAGCAACAAAAGCATGACTAAGGACAGGAAAACCCCACCAGGAGAGCCATTGTGCTGCCATAAAAGGAGATTATGTTTGCTCAATGTTATTTGTTCTTTACAGGTCTCCATTGGTTGTTAATTATCACCATGTTACCTTTTCAGAAAAAGACTGTTTTGATAATTAACTCCACCATTTCTAGAAATTGAAGTTAAGTCAACAAGTCTATAACTTGCTAGCAGCCCCCCTCTTGTATGATCATACCATTTCCTAGCGCAGTAGTCTTTGATTCAAAACATGCTGCTGCCAACTCAGAAGGAATTCAGCAACAACTTTCGTCCTAAAGAATTTCAGCAGTGTATCAGACTGACAACAATCTTCCTATACTGAACTATGTAATACACCCTGATGCCATGGTGAAAATTAATATTTGGCTTAGGTAACATAGGGAGAACACTGGGCTCCTGAATTCCAGCATGGAAAGCCACAGACTAAGAAGCCAGACATATGCAGAACTTGAAGGAAAACAATATAAATACAACAGTCACAAAAAATCTTGTTATTAACTAATCCAGACCATAAGAAAATACGGCTTTTCTGTAAGTCAGACAGAGATTTGCTATCTTTTTACCCAAGAATATTTTAAAGCCATCTCAAATCACCATTACCACGGTTTTTCTTCAATTGTGTGTATACTATGTGCTATTTAGAGATGGACCTTCACCAAAACACTCAATCTGCATATTCGTTATAGGCCAGATACACATTTGCAAGCAATCTGTGCCTTTTTAGGAGAGCCACCCCAAAAAGACCAGTCTGAAGATATCCCAGCAGATTCAAATTCAAAATCCAGATTTTTTTAGACTCATCTGTATTATTTTTGTTACATACCATTGTATTTTAGTTACATACACCAGCATAACACTAAAAATCAGACAACCTCAGAATTCAAACCCAAATCCACAGTTAGCAAAAAAAAAAAAAAAAATCTTTTATTTAAGAAAGTCAAACCAAACACTTGGATATAAACACATCCCAGGAGATTCGAATTCCAGATCCAGGTCAGTTTAGGCCCATCTCTTCTACTGCATTTATGCATCATTCATGGATTCACAGCACTGAAGTTAAGCATACTGGAGGGGTTCAAGGGCCTGCTTACCATGTTGACCATGTTGTAGCAAGGGAACTAGATCCAGCAGTGTCACCAGTGTCACGTAAAGTCCTTGATAGTCCAAAGATGGGTAGTCTGATAACTGAGCATCACGACTTTGCTGGCCACGTTCAGATGGAGCATCTCGCAGGACGCTGTAAAGGAGGGAGCGAGTAACAGTAGGGTTGATGGAACTGACCTGTGGTCTTAGAGATGGGGTGAGTGGGAATGGCACAGGAAAAAGACACATGGTCATGGGCACTGTCAAATTGGAGGCATCTTGATTCTCCTTCTTCCCTGTGCGGGACAAAATGCTGTTGGGGGGACAAAGAAAAAAAAGAGACAACAAAGACACAAAGAACAGCACATTACATTGAAATGACACTATAAAACAAATAATAAAACACCAGATACATCCCACATAAGATGCAATCGCTACCGAAACCAGTTTGTCTACAAATCTAGCAACCATTCACTTTCATGCTTGAAGATAAGAGAATTAAAAATTGACACCTAGGAAAATTTCATTGCATCTCATGTGTTATCTGGTTCATAAGGAGCAAAAATATAAAAATGCATGTTTCAGTGCCCTACCCATGTTTCACAGTTAAGAAAAATTTTGAGAATTAAAAGTGTTTGCTATGTAAAAATAGCTGTGTCAAAATCGGCTGGTATTTTGCTCTGAGATTTTGAGAGATTTATTTCTTCCCCCCCTATAGTCTTTTGAACCAACTGACTGAAAACATGCAAAATATAGGTGTGGCACTTGCAGAAACATGTTTTAGCAAAGAATAAACATGTGTGTTTGTTAAGATAGTCTTAAAAATCACATGTTTATTGCATTAAAATAATGTCTGTATGTATTTTATGATACTGTTTCATGACCACTCACTCAGTATCATTTGAGATAATGAAGTTTAAACAGGCACATGGATTTAGAAATAATATAATATTTCTAAAATGTTAACTAAACTACATTCGGAAAACTTGTAAAATAATATATAGTAGATGGTCTTTAGCATATGTTTGTGAGCTAATGATAATGGTTGTTTATGTGTGGGTTTAATTTTGCCCATGTTTAGGGAGGAAACATTTTACTTTATGAATACAAACACTCCTTGAGTAAATAGTTACCTTCAAAAATCTAAGGGCTAAGCAAGCAAGACCAATTATGTAACTGCAGATCAGACAGTATGTTACCATACATTCCTGCTGTTACTTACGTTATTATTCAACAAAACTCACTATAAACTAAAGGAGAGATAATTTCAAAAAATAAAAAGGATTTAGTGGGAATCAAAATAGAGGCTATACGTCAACCAGCTTGTTATGGCGTTTTAAGAATGTTGTAAACATGGTTGTAAACATGTTAATCTAATGTATTAAAAAATAAAACCCACTATTTTAAATAAATTGTCACTTAAGCAGTGTTATATTTTAGTTATCAGGCAATTATAGGGTTAGTTCATAATATTCATATGTGCCTATAAAATATAATATACCTTTTAAATGTATT